TCTGGGAAGGGCAGGTGAAGTGTTGCTTCACCTGGAAACTATGTTTGGGCCCTTGGATACTGGGGAGAGAGGAGGTAAATGGACAGGTGGGGAAACGAAGCTATCGTTTTACTCCCTGCCCCATCCCCCTCCCTATTTTCTGCATATCAACCTTCATTTTCCCAGCTACCATCAGTTCTGAGGAAGGGTCACTGGACCCGAAACATTAACTCTGATTTTTCTTCACAGATGCTGCCAGACCTGCTGAGCTTTTCCAGCAACTTTTGTTTTTGCTCCATCCGCAATTTTTTCGGTTTTTATGAGATCAGCCACGATTGCAGTAAATGGTGGAGCAGTCTTGAGGGGAATTGCCTTCTCCTGTTCCTAATTCTTTTGTAGTTCTACCTTTTGATCTCTGTATTCCATGCATTCTGCCACTAAATGGCATAAAAATGGCATCAGAATATTGACACAAAGTCCACAAAATGCACTTAACCCCAGTCTCTTGTAACCATTTTGTTGCTGTCATTTTATTGCCCTCACAAATTCTTCCAAATGTTTGACTGCTATAAACACCAGTGACTTATTTAATATTTCCAAGACTATTAGCTCCTTGTATCTGGTTTCCGGTCACATTGAAGCTGATTTTTAAAGTTTGGTTTTTAAAGTTTGAATCCGCTGAGTCTCAATAGAATGGAGAAGTTTTGTGTGAGCTGGATCTATGTTGTGCACTGCATGCAAACTACTGCATTATCACTGTCCAGGCATTTTTAAACAAACTTTAACTTAAGATCCACAGATTTTAAGACCGTCCTTTCAGGTATAGATTCTTGTGATTAAGAATTTAGTAAAATAGCCCATTCAGAATGACTGATCTTTTCAGCTACACCAGAAATATAATGCTTTCAACCATAAAACTTGTTCCTCAACCCCAAGGCATTATCTACAACCATGGAGTAGCTTATGGGTTTGTTTATAGCCTGATGGTGTTTTATGATAAATGAATCATTTGAAACAGTATGCAGTGCAGTGTGTTGATCTTATCCCCATTATAAAAACAGGGCCCTTACTTAATTTTTTTTAAGATTCCTCAAGTTAATATGATCCAGCTGGAAAGTCGGAAGGTGCAAATGTGGTGCTAAAGGCAGTGGAGGTAGCATCATTGAATATTTTAAAGTAGATGGGATAGATACACTTGCCTCAGAAAAATCTATCAAAGGTTATGGGGAATAGATGGGAATGTGGGGTTTGAAATGCAAGCAGATTATTCAAAGTCTGATTGAATGAGAAAACAGGCTGAAGGCCCAAATCACCTACTTCTGCTGTAAGTTTGTATATGTGCACTTCTTGATGTTACCTATCTCATATATAACCATCTCCATTCGTTCTAAGTATTCAAAGCTTAGGGGAGGTGATGCCTAGCAGTGTTAACACTCGACTGTTAATCCAGTGACCCAGGTAATGTTCTGGGCACCTGGGTTCGAATCTCCCCATGGCAGATGGTGGAATTCAATTTGAATTCAATAGAAAGGAAAAACTCTGGAATTAAGAATCTAATGTTGACCATGAATCCATTGTTGATTTTTGGGAAAACCCGTTTTGGTTCACTGATCCTCTTTTAGGGAAGGAAACTGCTATCCTTACATGCTCTGGCCTACATGTGACTCAGATCCACAACAATGTGCTTTACTCTTAACTGCCCTCTGGGCAATTAGAGATGGGCAATAAATGCTGCCTAGCCAGCGACGCCCTTATCCCGTGAATGAATAAAAAGAAAGCCTTTGCTCTCTCAGACCATTATTGCATTTGGCAGGCACCTGCCTATTGGCTTGCTTGTGTAGGTAAGATAGAAGTAAAATTTCAGTGGGCTGGTTTTCAATAGGTCCCGTCTCAGCCAAGATTTGTCATGCATAACCAAATTCTGTTAAACTTTGGATGTCTTTACCATGGAGGACTCTGTATTTGCAGTTGCTGGGCATATTCAGGATTAAAATTGGTAGATTTTGGACTGTATGGGACTTGGGAGTAGTTCAGGAAAATGTCACAGAGGTAGAACATTAGCTATGTTTTATTGAATGATAGTGTAGGCATGAAGGGCTGAATAGCCTACTCCAGCTCCTATTACTTAAGTTCTTGTCAACCTCGAAGTGTTCCAGTTTCCTCCCACAGTCCAAAGATGTGCAGGCTAGGTGGATTGGCCATGCCAAATTGCCTGTGGTGTTCTGGGATGTGTCGATTAGGTGGGTTATAGGGGGATGGGTCTGGGTGGGATGCTTTGAGGATCGTTGTGGACTTGTTGGGCCGAAGGGCCTGTTTCCACACTGTAGGGATTCTATGATCTGACTAGAGTTGTTGTTTCTTGATGTACCCTTCACTGTCTTGCATTCAGTTGAATCTTGTTGATTTGGGAGTTTGCATTGACCTTCTCAATGACATCTTGCCATGCCTGCTGCATCTCTTGGAGGAGGGATGGCATCTGTATCTCCCAATCAATCCGACAATTCACGCTTCCTGCACTTTGTCAGTGAAACAAAATTTCCTTTTCCTCCTTGGCTGTGTTTTTAGGCGGGGAAATTGCACAGTAAGTAGCAGTGTTTGAATACCATGCTTCTACTTCATAGTCTCAAACTGTTCTAACTCTTGCAAAGTGTCGCCTTTAATAATTCAGTCGTGTATCCTCTTGTACACTTTGCAGTGTGCTCTTTATAGCTCGTGCAGTATTTGGGCAATTTTACGGGTGAAATCGATGTATTCATGAGCGTTCTGTATTACCTTAGTAATATATAAACACTACTCAGCTAACCTTTCCTCAGCAGATAAACTACTTCTGCCTTTTTTGTAGGATACCAATTCTGGCCTTTTGCCCATCCCCAATTTTAATTGCTCCATCTTTGGCTGCCAAAGTCCTAAGGTCTGAAATTACTCCCCGAAAGCTTTCTGCTGTTCTGTCTCTCTTCCATACCTCTTCTCAGACGTCCCCTAAACCCCACCTCTTTGACCAAGCATTTGGCCATGTGACCCTATATCCCATGTGGCTCCTTTGAAGCACCTCAGGGTACTTTGCGACATCAAAGGCGCTATATAAATGCATGTTGCCATTGAATCTTTTACCTTGGTCTCACAGTAAAACAAAATTACCCCATTTTGATGATTTGTGTAGATCCAGTCATTGACCATAAAATGTGGCCCTTTTAATAAAATTAATGTGTAGTTGAATTGGTTTTTATACTGCCGTCTGTTTTCTGATAATATTTGAATTACCAATTACTACTTGGCTCTTGATTCTGATGAGAAAACAATTGACCGAAAAATAGCTGGTAAGAAACACCTTTTCTCCATTAAGTGAGGAACCAAAGGGTAAGAGACAAACAAGGATGAAACATGTTGGTTTTTTTTTTGGAATGTGATTCATTGCTTAGGCAGCTGTCCCAAGAGCAACACAATTTCTTTCAGATTAAAGCAGACAGCTTCCTTATATTGTTGACATATTGTAAAGCATGGCAAAATTTGTAAGCACTGCTGAAATCTCAGCAGACAGTTTGTAGTGCAGTGCAATGAGTACGAGTTAAAGGTCATCCTTTCATTCCTCCTGATGGGTCTGTTTTTTTGTTGTATCTCTGCACCAATTTCAATCAGTGACAACACATGTGGGACTGTAGTATAATCAATAAATCACAAGACAGTTAGGCGCTGGTGGTGTTCTGCCAAATAAAGGCATAGCTCTAAATGTGGCAAAGATTCCAGTCAGGTAGTCAATTTCACCATGCAATAACATTACTGCTTTACGAATTGGGCACTGTGCCAGTTGTCAACCCCAAATAAGTGTCACTTCTCACTGTGTTCTTCAGTACGGGTTCTCTGAAATCTTCAGAAAATTATAGTAACGGAGGAACTGATTTCAGCTAAGTCTCGCTTTCCTGCCTTCTGTCAGCAGTGTTTTTAATTTCTGCTTTAGATAATTACCCGCTCCTTTTTTTCCAACGTTGTGACATATGATAGCACTGATCACCACTTGTGACAGGATACTGCACATTCTGATAACTGTGGGCGAAATCCTAACGATTGCATTTATGTAGCTACTGCTCAATTAAGAATTGACAGCAATCTGATTGGCTCTATGTCCAACTTTGGAGGTGATGTTTTTCAAAGTTGCCTTGCTTCACTGCAGTAACTTGTGGCAGAAATACAGGGGAACCCTGTTAACGTGCACAACTGAGAAAAGTTTGTTCAAACTCCCTGTCCAGGCCATTTTGCACTTGCACTTGAGACTGCTGGGGGTTGGTTAGCTCACTTGGCTGGTTTGTGATGTTGGTTGGTGCCAATTCCATGGGTTCAATTCCCACACCAGCTGAGGTTACCATGAAGGACTCTCCTTCTGAACCTCTCCCCTTGCCTGAGGGATAGTGGCCCTCAGGTTAAACCACCACCAGTCCTCCCTCCAATGAGAGAGGAGCCCCATTCTCGGACTATGGCGACGTTCCCCTTCCCTCTTGAGACCGCTCCATTCATTTCTATCTTACATTTCTGCTGTTTGCCATAGGAAGCATTTTGTCAGCTTCACATCTCAATGAGCTTGAAAGCTCTAAATAACCTGATAAATTATTTGCTTTTCTTCCAGGTTTTGCTGTGCAAATTAGTATCAATGGTATCAATGCAGGATGACACAGGGCTGATAAATATGCTGTTAATATTTCTTATGTCAAAAATACGTAGCATGAAATATGGCTTACAGATAAGGCGCAAATTTCCATAAATGCTGTTGGGTGTTTTGTTTTCCACTCACTTTTGGGAAAGTCAGCATGGATATAAGTGCCCCCCCCCCTCCCCCCCCCCCCCCCCAGGTTTATGCCTGCAACAACTTTCTTTGTTAATATTAGTGCTTTAAGGAATGCGTCTGCAAAATGGATTTGGGTGCATTATAAAGCCAGAGACACAAAAGAACAAAAGTTTTCTAAAGCTTTGTTGTCCATTCCCCATCTGTTATTGCTGACAATAGTTGAATGTTACTGTTGTCTTTACAGATTATGAAGGAGGTGCGGAGAGCACTTGGTAATGCTTCAGCTGATGACAGCAAGCTTCTGCTGCTTAGCGCTGTAGGGAGCGTGTTCTGCAGCGGCCTAGACTATTCCTACCTAATTGGCAGGTTGTCCAGTGACAGAAGGAAAGAGAGCACTCGGATTGCAGAATCAATAAGGTATTTTGTCAACGGCGAAAGACTGTGTATTTGAATTGCATGCAAGTTGTAGAAATGGCTTGAAACATACAGCTCGCAATATACAGCAATCTTCAAACAAAACACAGAGGAAGCAGGTTCATCTTTCACCTAGTCACAGAAGGTCGATCATACATTTCAGACACTTGACAGATCTGCCTTTCTTTTCCAGCATTTTCTATTTTATTTCAGTGTTTGCAGTTCTTTTTCCCTTCTTTGAGCATAGGAACCAGAGTACGCCATTCAGTCCCTCAAGCCTATTCTATCATTCAATGGCCAATGTGTGGCCTAACTCCATATACCTTCCCAAGGCTCCATATACCCTAACACCCCCGTTTAACAAAAATTTATTGATCTCAAATTTAAAACTAATGACTGATCCAGGATCTACTGCTGTTTGTGGAAGAGAGTTCCAAACCTCTACCACCTTTGTGTTGAAGTGCTTCCTAATACCTTTCCTGAATGGTCTGCCCATAATTCTCAGACTATTCCCCTAGTTCTAGAATCCCCGACCAACGGAAATAATTTATCTTTATCCATCTTGTCCTTCCCTTGATCTGACCACCAAAATTTTTTTTCTTTTCTTGGCACTTGGGCATTGTAGGCAAGGCCAGTATTCGTTGCCTGTCCCTACTTGCCCTTTTTTACTGAGTGATGTTATAGGCTGTTTCAGAGGGCAGTTAAGTGTCAACCCTGTTGCTGTGGGCCTCAAGTCACCTGTAGACCAGACCAGGGAAGGACAGAAGATTTCCAGTGGTTTCGCTGGTGACGAGCTTTAATTCCAAAATAATTAATTACATTTAACTTCCATCAGCTGCAATGGTGGGGTTTGAACCTGTATCCCCAGAGTGTTTGTCTTCAACCTCTGGATCACTAGTTTAGTGACATTAGTGCTATGCTGCTGCCTCCACGCCTGTTTCAGATATCCACACAGATAAATCTACACATCTGTTTTCATCATGGGTTGTCTTGCTTTCTTGGTAGCAGAGTCCTGGCGATTTTAACTAATATTTCCAAACTGGCCAGTGAGCAGGCAAGGTATTAAGTAGGACCAGTACCAAGGAAGAGTTATATCGGAACTCAAAATGTTACCTCTGTTTCTCTCTCCACGAATGCTGCCAGACCTGCTGAGTTTCTCCAGTAATTTCAGTTTTAAATTCAGATCACCAGCATTGACGGGAATTCGTTTGTACTAAGTAGGATTAGCTCAGCAGAAGCTAGAACTCATTTATCAAGTGAGGCAGCATGGTGGCTCAGTGGTTAGCTCTGATGCCTCACAGCTCCAGGGACTCGGGTTCGATTCCACGCTCGGGTGACTGTCTGACTGGAAGCTGTTCGTCCTCCCTGTGTCTGTGTGAGTTTCCCACAGCATAAAGATGTACAGGTTAGGTGGATTGGCCATGCTAAGTTGCCCACAGTGTCTACGGATCTATAGGTTAGGTGGATTAGCTGTGGGAAATGCAGGGGGAATTGGGGTGGGTCTGGGTGGGATGCTTTTCGGAGGCTCAGTGTAAACTTGATGGGCTGAATGGCCTGCTCCCACACTAGGAATTTGATGAAGTTGCTTTGATTTGTAGAAGCATTTTAGGTGTCTTGTGTCCTGTAAGCAAGGTGGACACTAGTGCATTGACAAAGGACAGTGGATGGATCCTGGATCCTCATGTACTTCCCTTACCTCGGCTCAAAATACAAACCAAAGGGCCATTTAAAGAGCAACAGCAGCCGTCAATGAGTGTTAGTAGATTTGGCACTTAACACGTCCAATCGTGGTGAGGCACTGCAATGTATAAATAGAATGCTGAGCAATAAAGCTAATCATATTACAGGCTGGGGGACAATGTGCCAAAACCTAACAGTACTGTACTCTGATCAGACCACACCTTCGGTACTGTTCCAAATTTGTCACAAACTGGCACGTTCATCTGGACACAGCATGGAGAAGAGGATCAGGGGACAGAACTGTCGTAAAAGTCTGGAAAAACTGGAGTGGCTTAAGGTTGCAGACCTAGACAATGCAACCTTTGTTATTCTTGAGTCCCTGCCGATTTAGAAAAAAACGAGCGAAAATGTTCCAGTCCTAAAGATAATTTAAAACAACAATTTATGACTTCAGAAATATTAGACCACGTTGAGGAGGTTTTCTTCTCTCAGTGGTTTGAGAGTCTTTGGAACTCTCTTCCTCGAAAGACAGTGGAAGCTGAGCCTACGAATCTTTTTAAGGCAGAGGTGGATAGATTCTTAGTGAGCGAGGGAGTCCAAAGGTGGTTACAGATAGACAGGAATATAGAGCAATCAGACAAACTTAGAGAATCGCTTAGCAAGCTCAAGGAACTGAGTGGCCTACTCCTGCTTCTGAGCCCTGTATTCATTTGTTGTTCGTATGACAGTGAGATGGCGGCAGTAATCCAGGGATCTGAGGGACCCAGGGGACACCAGTTCAATTCCCCGTGAAGGCAGCTGGTGGATTTTGAATTCCGTTATCGAATCTAGAATTGAAAGCTAACATCAGCAATGCTGAGCGCAACATTATTGATTGCTCTAAAAACCCATCTAGTTCAGTGTTGTCCCAGAAAGAAAGAAATTTGTGACTCCAGACCACAGTAATATGGATGTCCCTTAAACAGCCTCTGAAATGGGCCGAGCAGAATGCTCATTCAAGGGCAATTAGGGAACAAATGCACCAACACCCCATCTCATGAAACAATAAAGCAAAAATAAATAGATGATGTGCATGCTCTCTGGTATTCATTCATTAATTGATTGCATTTAGTTCTTTTAACGTACAACAGCTTGCTCACCCGGTGAGCCAGTTGTGGTAATCTCGAGTTGCTATTTGTATTTTATGAGTATTCGACCCAATTAATTATATCCATTACTTTATGTGGCAGCACATCAGTGTCTTTCAGGCAGGAATATCCCAATGGAACATATCCATTAGGCAGTATATGTCATAGCTTCAGTTAATTAATACAGGTCTGAGTTTCATAGTGTTGAAAGAATGTTTCTATGGGTTCTTTAGGAAGAGCCCTTTGATGGAGAAAATCTGATTTTGTTCTACGTTCTAAAATGGGATGTAACCCGGCCAGGATAGATGTATAATTTATTGATTCTTTGCTCTATTAATACCACATCCAAACCCAGATAAACCTGACTAGATGGAATCCTCTTGTGTTTTTTTTGGCTTTCTGTATCATTCATCCCAACTGCTTGTGGATCTCAGTGTGTGGAAAATGGCTATAGAATGGCATTTGTCCAACAAATGGCATTCACTGTAGTCCATTCAGAGATAAAAGGACCAGCTGCTTTTATTTTACCCTGTAAATTCAAGCCTCTTTAATGAGATTAACTTTGGCTGATTTATAATGAATTTAAGAAAGGTACTGCTAAAATGATGGATCTTCATGTTTCTCTGTGGTCGATATTTCTTTAAAACTCAGCTAAAGTCCAAACAGAGTTACCAGCTAGCTGTCTCATGGTTTTCAAGTAGACCATTGAGTCAGAGAATAATACAGAACAACACATTATATGGCTCTCATGCTGTGCTGTACAATTCTTCAAAAGAGTTTCCAATTAGTCCCATTCAACTGCTCTTTCCCCTTAGACCTGAGGTTTCTTCTCCTTCAGATATATCCAATTCTCTTTTCAAATTGGCTATGGAGTCTGCTTCTGTCATTCTCTCGGACAGTGTATTCCCAATTGCAACAACCTGCTGGTTATTAAAAATAAATTCTCTTCAACTCCCCTTGAACCTGTACCCTGCTTCTGGGACGAACTCACCACCTGTCTGTATGAAGCCTGCCCCGAAGCACAGTGTGATTCCATACTCTCCACATATCTGGATGGGTGCAGCTCCAACAACACCCAATAAGCTCGAGAGCATTGAGAACAAAGCAGCCCACTGACTGACATCCCATACACCACCTTCAACATTCACTTCCTTCAACAGTGATGCTCAGTGGCAGCCATGCATACCACCTACAAGTTGCACTGCAGTAACCAACCAAGCTTGTTGCACACTTTCCAAACCCATGATATCTACCAACTGGAAGTAAAAGGGCAGGAAATGCATGGGAGCGCCACCAGCTGCAGGCTCCCTCCAATTCGCACTTCCTCTTGACTTGGAACTAAATCTCTGTTCCCTCACTGTCACTGGACCTAAATCCTGGAACTCCCTTCCTAACAGCGCTCTGGGTGCCCATACATCTCAAGGGTTGCAGCAGTTCGAGAAGGCAGCTCACCATCACCTTCTCCAGGACAATTTAAGGATTGGGAGTAAATACTTACCTAGCCAGAATGCCCACATCCCACGAACAAATTTTTAAAAATCATATCGAAGTATTGACTGCTCATGATAAACTGAATGTTACTTTTTGAATCTAAGACAGTGGTTATCCAAAATGCAGCTCAATCTCTTAATCCTTTTCCATGATAAATGGGAAGGCAAGTAGTGAGAATGGCACAGAGTCTACAGAGGGAAATTAAACAGGTTAACTGAGTGCACAAATACTGGCAAATGGCATATGGGGGGAAAATGTGACTTTGTTCTTTACTTTGGTAGAGAGAGGAGATAAATATTGTTTAAATGAAGAAAGTCTGCAGGGATTTGAGGGTTCCTCGTGCATAAATCACTAATTCCCTGTCATACGAGTTTATCAGGAAATAAGCAAGGTAAATAGAATGTTGGCCTTAATTTTAAAAGGGAATGGAGTATAAAAATAAGGAAGTTTTCTTAAAACTAAATAAGTTACTAGTTAGGCCATGCTTCGTACTGTGAACAGTTTTGGTCCTTATATGTAATTAAAGATATACTGGGATTAGAGCCAGACCAAAGATGGTTTACCATGATGATCCTGGGTATGAAAGGATTTTCTTGTGAAGAAAGGTTGAGTTGATTCGGTCTGTGAGGAGTTTAGAAGAATGAGAGGTGACCTTATTGAAAAATTTAAGTTTCTTACAGGATTTGATAGGGTAGACGTGAGTGG